TCAGCAAAAGCAATGTGCTTTCAAATTATCGGCATATGTTCGTAAAATCGAAATCAAAGGAAGGCGCCGTTTTTGTTTCTTAAGACTTTATTTTTATCCCATGAAATCCAACGTCTCTTTACCCTACGAAAATGAGCATGAAAAAACGAGTTCACGCATATGCATTTTACCCCGTTACATAACAATATTTCGGAGAAATTTACTGTTTTTTCGACCGAGCCGATCGTTAATATCCTATCAATACAAGCGATATATCACTTTTCAATACCATTCTCTTCGTTCGCTTTGGCTCTGCGGGGTGAAAAAGAGTGCAATCCCAAGTGCCCAAATCCGGCTGGCGAGGCCACTAAAACGCGCGCCAAAGGGCTCCTTGACTTTTCCCTTGCAGCTTGCAGCCAATGCATTTACCCATAGCTATGATCTCTGCAACAGTTGCTCAAAAGAGTAGTTTTAAATAATAACTATCGACTATTTATATTAGATACTTGAAATGCATGAATAACTACAACCATTAGTTATCAGTTGAACGCTCATAACTGAATTCTGTAACTAAATTATTTTTAATTATTCAGCGTAACTTATAACTTAATTCCAAAGAAATTAGTTACTTACAAAGCCCATCATAATTGAATTTATATAATCGAGCTCAATATCTAATGGCTGCAGGAGCAAACCAGTATTTGAAAACATTTACAAACAAACAGATTTTCACCGACATATTTGGAGACAATTCAGCACATCATAGATAAGTGGACATTTTCTCTTTCTTTTATGTATTGATATATTTAACGCCAAAACCTGTTAAAAACTGTGTGTGATGTACTCTAAGGAGACTTCTTGTATAGGTGTATTCTGTGCACGTTTCCTTAAATTGTGGGAACTCTACTGCAACCAATATACCAGTTGAAATCTGAATACAGATGTAAACCAGCGTGTTTGCTAAGAATTGGTAAAATAGTCGTTCTCGTGTCATTAAAACTTTTTGAAAAAGCAAATCTACTAGTGGATCTTACGCCTCATGGAAAAATTGACTTACTGCCACGATAACATGGACAACGATAATTTAAATAACAGTTTTATCCACAGAACTGTACATATATGGCCATAAGTAAAACCAAGTTCTATATCAGAATTTGCAGAAAGACTCAGGGAAACTGGATGTAAATCCTGACCGATATGAGTGTCTTTGACCCAGAAGCTGAGGTACAATACTTGTTACAGGCATATTTAGTCTTTTAGAATTATACAGTCCAATTTTCCGAAAGGTAACTAATACATAAAATAAAACTGGTAAAATCAATATTTTTTCTTATGATCAGTACAGTCTCTAATTCAATTGAAAGAGTTATACAGCAGAAAAGACTTTACTTGACTTTTACAACCTGTATATCGATTTTAATCGTTTAATATTATCTGATGTGTTGTAAAATAATTTATATGTATTGGAAATGAATATTTCCTAGTGCGCTATTCATAAGACACTTCTTGGGTATGATTCCTACGTTGAGTGTTATAGTTATAGACATTTGGATCCGATGCCAATATGTCTTCACCCTTGAGTAAGTCAGTTTTGACAAAAAAAAACACTGATTCGTAAATCAACTGGAAACCCAACGGTAGAATTCCTAGCTTAATAAAAACAAACTTACAAGAATCACCCGGATGGAATTTGTTTATTACTCGTATAATGCTTTTCAGTATCTAAAAATATGGGAGCCATAGAATGTTTACCCCATAGTATTATCCCATATCTCAGAACAGTTATGAACATTCGCGAAATATCCATAACGAGCTGGCTGACTGAATTTGAAGGAATTTTGAACGCGTGGCATAATTAAGTTAATTTTGTGATCAATTTATTAACATGGTTACTCCAGTTGAGGTTTGACTGAATAGAGATTGTTTCTACCAAAAATGTTGTTTCCCTAACATCAGTCATTTGCACATCATTCATTTTCAGTGGAGTATGCAATTGCTTATTTGAAATGAAAAACGGCATTAAAACCGTTTTCTCTTCATTTACGATTAATTTGTTATTAAGGAACAAATTTGACACATCTCATATTGTAGTAGTTACTATTTATTTATTTATTGCAAAGAACACTCGTATCATCCGTAAAAAGGACTATTCTGCCGTTTCGAGTTGTCAAGAGCTTATCTTTTACATATGGAAGGAAGAGAATAGAACTAAAATCGAACCCTGCGGAATCGAATGCGCAATTGACAATGACTTGCAAAGGTGAGTAAATAGTGTGTTATAATGTCAGTACGGTAGTTCTACTCTCTAAGATCGCTGTTTCAAGTATAATAACATAACCAGCCTAGAGCAATACCATGAATTCTATATGGATATAATTTTGAAAGTAAAATAGTATGGTCTGTGTTATGATGTTATGATATGTTATGTTATTTGTTATGATCAATGGCGTCAAAATCTTTTTAAAGATCTAAGAATATTCCAATACGTGCTTCATTGTGATCCATCGTTGAAGGAACATCTTTAATAAAAAGAAAATGTGGCTGTTTCCATAGATTTTGATTTTCTAAACGCTCCGAACTTACTGAAAACGTTTTCCATTTGTACATAGAGAAGTTTCTCTTGTATTTTTGAAAAAACGTACAAAAGAGGAGTTGGTCGATAATTTTGAATTTCATTTTTGTTGCGCTACTTAATTTTACCTGTTTTGATAATATCAGTTAATGTTCCGGTGCATAATACTGTATTAAATATGTGCGTTGACCCACAAGGTTCATGGCAGGTGCAGAAGTCTTTGACAAAAAAGCAGAAGTTCATCGAAATCGGCCGATTTTTTTAGATTACAGATTTATTTTGAGAAAAAGGGGGGAACAGTCGAAAACGAACATTTTTGTCGAAGATTTTTGTGGAAACGTCTGTTGTTGATTCTTTTGTTTTAAGACGCATTGTGAGATCAACTGCAATTCTCAAAAATATTAAAGAGACTAGCTACTGTTGCTTGATCGTCCATATTATCTTTTAATACAATATTTTCTACAAGGTTTCTGGTTGATGTGGTCATATTTTTTACTATATTCCTTATTGCTTTTATTCTTATTTGAGTTCAAAATAACGTGTTTGATGATTTTAGCCTGTCTTTAGACTTTTCTAATTTGTATTTCTGGAAGTAGATGTGGAAATCATGAAATAAGTTATGATGTTTAGAAGTGTAATAAACAATTCGTTTGTTTTTGGATGACTTTCTAATCTCTTCTGTTATTGTTTACTATTTTTCCACTTCTCACTTAGTATATCAGTAAACCAAAGCATAAAGCAAAACAAATTTTGATATACTCTTGAAAGAAAATAACTTTCAAAATAGAAATTTACAAAAAATTACTCTAAGAAAACACTAAAAATATATACATAAACGATTTACAAATATGCTCCATTGCTCGGCAGCTATGAATATCTGCAGTCGTGCCACGGGCCGGCGAACTGACTGCCGCGTTTTGTGGAGTTATAAAAATATGCTTTTGATTTTCGGATGAATCAATAGAAATTCCAATGAATCAATGGAAAAATATATCATTATGCCCGTTAATATTGATGTTTGTCTCTATGTCCTTCGTGTCAACAGCATGGATTGCTGTGATTACGCCTGTATCCCTCGTCACTCGTCTCAGTCTCCACCGTCCCCGTAACAGTCATAGAGCCACGAAGGTCACCTTCCCCATAGGCAACAGTTGCAAGGCTATTCAAGGAAATATTATCCGTTTACTTGAAAATCACACGTCAGAAAGATTAATTTTATACTCAAACTACTATTAAAACATTAACAAATGATTCACCATTGTATTTTCCCTTTTTTAACTCATCTATTACTAATGAGAAACGTTTATAGTTCAATTTAAAAGTATTAAAGATTATTAAATTTCTCGAAAACTAAAAATATTTCAAACAATTTCTGTTCGACTAATTACTTGCCTCATGATTCCGCATTGCAGAGCAAAAACTGAATTTCGGTATCGTGAACCGTTCAGAGGGCTTGGGGAGGCCCACAGTTGTTGGGACACACTGTATAAGAATTGGTCCCGAGCGAAGTGTCCGCACTTTATAATCATTGTTTTAAAAGTGAAAACAGCTGCACACTGGAATCTAACTTCGAATGATCACATCTCCTAAACATTGCTTTACAACATAAGAGACGCGATACACGGGGAAACAGACTAATATTACTAAGGGTTGAGATGAAATTGCACAGAATAACGAATAGTCAGAGTAATTATACATAGATTTATAGGTTTCTGACCACCACTGCTACGACATGGAGATACGATGGTGATGATAAATCTAAAAATATTAATAGAAAGTTCACAAAAAGGAACTTACGAGTACATTGTAGATCGCAGCGTAAGCATCGAAACTCGTGTCCCATCAGCAACACAAAAAATACTTTTAAGGGCTCATCGTTTCCGATTTATGCGAGATTGCATCGGGCGTTGCACTGTAAGTGCAGTGTTACGAGTTGCATATGCGCCTGCTATCCGTCTAATATCGTTATCAACGAAATTATTTTTGTTTTTCCCTCTCTTAATATTTTTAGCCACGCCTGGAAGAGTTACCTACCCACAAGTAGCACTCTCACGGAAGTTTGCTTTCTTACAAATAGTACAAAATTGCTATCGTTCCTTAGTGAATTATTAATAACGATGATGCTGGATAATGAAGCTGTGCGTTCATTTGGTCAATACTGTCGTTCATTATACTTCCACATTCGTGGTTTAATGTGTACCCAATTCTCCCACTAGGAGATTTTAAGCTTAGGATGAAATCTGCTCCCGTCGTATTCTGCACGATGAAGCATTGAGAGAAATGTTATGTTTTCAAATAGTTGAGTATAGTTACACTATTTTTCGGTGTTTCTCCTTAATTCATTGTAGTTCATCAGAATATAGCTTTAATGATTATTTAGAGGTCTGAATTACAATAATATAATTTAACATTTTCTAAAATTCCAGCCTAATAAGCATATTATTTTCAGTGATAATCTCGACTATGGTATGGAATTTGCAAGAAAATTTGTCGACGCGCCTGACCTTGTAAAACCAGACAAAAATGTAAAGCGTAAGAAGGCTTGGACAAAGCGAATGCAGATGAATCTCCATAATAACGAAGCCGGCAGACAGGTAAGTGACTATAGTTGACGTTTATGAACATGAATAAACCATGTGAACTTTATTGCTGACATTACAATTCCTGTTACCTGACTCCTAAACAATAATTGTGATTGCTGAACATCAACAGATTCATCATCTTTGTTCATCCATGGAATACGGAAAGAAATACGGTCTTTAGAATTTAAACAAGAGAAATGATCGAAATAATATAAAATATTTCATTTCTATTCGCATTAATATTAAATAAATTATTTTTATTCATATTAATTTGTAAAAGCACTAATATTATTTATATTGAAAAAAGGTTTTTACATACGTTCACAGATAAAATATTACATATTGTAAATGACATGACATGTAAAAAAATATACCAAACCATATTGCAAACTTAGTCTTGTGAGCTATCATACTCCAAAGCTACTTCTTGTTTAAATTGTTTACTGTTATAAACATCTACTGTGAACTTTTGTAATTAATTAATATACACATTTTATGAACGGAAATTTATACCGTAGATAAGACCATAAAAAGGCTCAATTCAGAACAATTTAGATGAAAAGCCAACAAAATATTTTATGGGTTAAATCATTATCATTTAAATAATTTGATTTAAATCAATGTGTAAATTTACAATATAAATCAATTTCATTCATTTATTTAAATCATCGCCATCCTAAACATTTTTTTTCTTTCTAACAAAACGCGTTGACTTTAAATGAAGACGAAACATCAAAAAGTGTAACATGTTATAATCTCTTTCCACTACTTGATGATGAAAATGCGGATAAAACAGAGTGTCAAAGATCGATCACACATTAACTCGAATGTAGTAATGAGCTGGTTTTATGAACAAACAGCTTCAAAGATTTCCTAAAACATATGTGCCCAGCCTCATATCACAAATGGCAATCGGCGAATTAGTTGAGTGCTGCATTGACGTATTTGTAATTTGATGCCCGTTGTTCAGAGCATTTGCTCATGACTGCTTGTTTCATCTTTCTGCCTACGGAACGTAGGGGTAGAAATTGCCCTCAAATTTTCTGTTTATCGAAGTTTCAGAAAATAAGAGTTTCCAAATTACGAGACACATTCAGAAGTTAATGATGGAAATCAGTAGGCGATTTACGCCGACCTGGATGGCCGAGGTGGTTATCGACTCAGCGCTTCGGTCCGAACGGTCGCAGTGTCTAGTCCCGCCTTGAGCATGGCTGTATGTTCCTTGTCACTCGTGTATGTGTTGTTGCGGAGGGCCTCGCGGTCTGCTGACCTCAGATCATTGAAGTCCGCAAGTGTGTTAGTGTCTAGCGTAAGATCTAAAATGCGTCCACCTTAAGTGTGTAACTGAAGAGACGTGTGTATGCTCGGACGTATATACTGACGAGCTAGTAATCCACGTTTTGTTACACTTGAAACAAATTCCAAGTTTATTAAATTTGGACAGCTAATTAATAATAATGTCATGAATATGCAATATATGTATGCAGGTGGCTCTTTACATCGTAAAAGTTCGTAGTATGAGGAAACAAAATAAAGACGAAATCATACGCGCCATTATGTGTACATTTCCCATAGTTTCTATGCAAACGCGCCTTGAACAGTGCACAAAATTGTAAGTCGCCATAATGGAGTGAACGTCGTTTACCACTTGTGTCGGTTTTTCGTAGCATTTCGCAGCGAAATGGTCAATCGAAGGTGAAACCTTCTCAAAATTAAGTTATTCAAGGATTGCTTACATAATATTTTTGGAGTGTGGTTAACGGTATACTGCAGCAATGTCACGATGCTGTACTGTAAATGAATATTGTCATACTTTACTTTCGACGCATGTCATAGTAACGCTGCCTCTGCCAGTTAGTAATATTCTTCGCATTATCTCATAGGTGTTGCGCTGAGTCTTGCAACCATTTTAATACTTGACAAGATAAAGGGCTATGCTGTACTTACGACGAGTATGACGGCCGACACACACGAGTATAGACGGCCGAGGTTTCTGTCTGTGTACTAGGAAGAAGTTATAAAATGAACATTTTTCCGGAGATCGAAGTTTAATATAGTACATTGCCAGAATTAATAGATTTTCAAAGAACTTTAGATGATAAGTAGACTTCGTAATTTTGGGCACACAAAAGTGATAATTTAGGCACCCAAAATAGGAAAGAAAATTATAAAAAATAAGGCATGAAAAGTGGCGTTTTACGCACTAAAATAGGCTATATAAATATTAAACCAAACATAAAAACATTTGATTTTAAAAGCTTCTAAAACATATCAGAAAAGCATTAAATTAGGCAAATTTTAATTATTCATGAAAGTCACGTATTTTTACATCTATAAGAGTGACTACAAACCTATTATTTTATGCTCTTTCATTCTTTCATACTTCATTCGGAACCTGTCAACAGCGCAGATGCACCGGGAATGACTGCAATTGCCCAATAAGTGCGTACTAATCAGAGACGAGAGTGAAACGTCCTCTTTATATTCCCTAGAAGCGCTATTTACGTTCGGTGTGTTGCGACAGATTTTGGTACGAGTCGGTTGCGTATTCGATCAGGGAATACTCGCGTTTCAGGAAAGTATCTGCGATGCGGTATGCGGTAAAGGAACTACATAGGCATTTGTCCTCAAATCCGAGGTGCAATGATAAGTGAGGAAGGTTACCGAGCGTTTCGCATTCGTAAAATCAGAGTTGTTACATTAATCTCGTTGAAAAAATGCGTTAAAATAATTTTCACATTGCATTGTAATCGTTGATCAACGTTATCGATATTCCAAGTGGAGATACGAAACATGTTTCTAGAAAAATTATTAAATCAAAATGTTATTTTTTGTACACCATCATTATACCCAATCTCTTATGGCATCGAAAATAGTACAGAAACTGCAGGATTTTGAAACTAATTCAATAAAATAACATACGTCATTAAACAATTGCCGGGAGTACGGGGTTTTTATTTACTCGTAACACAGAAAACAATAATTACGAATCGACAAAAGAAACACTGCGACACATAAATTTAACTAACCATTACTTAAAACCCCCTTATTAATATTGAAAAAAATGTGCAGTTCAAAACTTTCGTGAAAGAAAATTTAGAACTACCAGAAACTGTTTCATTTAAAGTGTGAGGTTTTGAAGGTTCGTCTGTGTTCGGCGTCACACCCAGATACAATTGTCCTGGCGATTCTAATCTTATTTGCTACTGACTCCTCAATGTATTGTTTTGCGACACTAGTTGAACGCCATTCGCATTTTTCTCTTGCTTCCAAGTTACAAATTTATCATATTCTTTTTCATACTTTTCAGCTGATTTTCTAGGGATTAGCGACAATTTCGCTTTAGCAACTTCATTAATTATTGCCTCTGGTAAATCCATTTCACAACGAATAATAAACACCCTAGCCAATCACGGCCGCCCCTATTACAGTCGACCTTTGCCTACATTATGTACAACTTACCATTTTACTTCCAGGTTCAGTAACCATTTTACCCTTGAAATAATTTATAATGATGTTATACAAAAAATAGCGTATTCACTCCTTCGTCGTTCATGCGGCTACTCTTTCGTATAAAAAGGATAGGTTATTATTTCGGTATACTATTCGTGCAAAAATGAACAGCATTATAATATAATGGCATAATATACTATTAACAAACTACTCCTCTTACAGTTCGTATTGAACCCCAGAAGTGCGCCATGCATCGATCCATAAATATATCGAATATTTTAGTATGATTTCGTTCAACATTGCAATGAAATAATCGAATTGTTTAATTTCTACTAAACAGTACAAACAAATGCTGTCAGTAAACTAACATTTATTGATTTTAATAGTAATTTCTTTAAGTAAAGAAGAAAAAGCTTTTTTGTGTATCAGCATTATAAACGGCCTTTTCCGTTGGAAGAAATTGTTCATAAAATGGCATAATCTTACACTGATTATAATTTGCCGTTTATGGCAGATAATTACGTCATTACAAAATATATCCAATCGCATCGAGCGAATCATGCACAAGTGGCAGTAAACCGCACAGTCTACCGAATCGCAGCGAGCGAATCGGGGGAAGGTGGCGGTAAACCTAACAGATTTTTTTCGCACAGGTCACATACCCGTGACATCTAAATAAAGATGTTTCCAAAAATTAAATTTGATACTCTTAAAATTTATAATGTTTTTATGCAAAATATAACGAATGAAACTCGCTTAAAATGTTTTATTGCATTCGTACAAATTTAAAAACTCACTCGTAATGCCGTTCGTTTTCAAAATTCGTACTTATGCAGTATAGAGTATAAACTAGTTGCATAATGCATTATAATTCTACATTATCCCGATGTCTAACAATTTTATTTCTCACATGCAACACTCACGAATTTGGACAATTGGCTTTTATGACACTTTACACTAGATAGTGCATAATCGAAAAAATATACAGTTCAATTTGCACCATCTGCCATTGAACGGGCACCATCCGGCTGTAGAGGCCACGAGCGTTCGTTTCTGCCGAGGTGAAGGGACAACCCAGGTCACGAAGGTCAAATGCATCACACTCAGCCAGTGTCTAAGGCAGTATCTTCAGGTAAAATCTCATAAAAATCCAACTGTATGACGTCGGGAGTGTTGCGTGTTTGAATAATAGTAACAATAATCAATGACCTTCAGTACTGAAAAAATTCCTTTCAGATATCGACACAATCAACACTTTCCATTTGCATAGAAGCGTTGGGTAAGGTTACTAGAAACAAAAGAGAAGTTGAAACTCTCGTCAAACAGTAAATTTCCGACAGAACATTCCTCCGATTTTAGTACAGTACATTGATTAATTTACGTAATCACTTTCAATACAAAAAAAGACAGTTTCCAGTTATTCAGATCAACCCAACTGTGTATACTAATGTAAAATGGATATATAAATATTTTGTGGAAGTTTAAGAATAATATCTTTTTAATTCCTACAAAAACTTATGTGAGGTATTAACATTCGAGCTTTTATTCTGTAAACATTATTGTTTAAGACAGGTTGTGTATAAGTTGTCTAATTTTTATAGAGGTCAACGTATTCATACAGCACGGTTTTTTCGAACGTAAAATGACACTTTGTATGTAATTGTAGTTGCTGCTTTACGTTACCAGATATTTAAATGCATCGATGGTCTAACAAGATGACATACATATCAATGTTGTTACAAATTCAAATTCGCTGTGCGTGAATTTTGTTGATCTCTCCCTTTCTTAGTTGTAGTAGAAGTAGAGCCAAGGGTATGAGTTGCTATTTTCTTCGCAATACTAAAAAATATTAAATCTGTAAGTTCGTTTACTGATGCAAATAAGTTTTCTATAACTCGGGAGCGAAAACGTTTAGTTTTCAAATGTTGCTAACCTCGCTTTGTTAGTAATTTTATTCCTCGTTCGACAGCGTATAGTGAAAGGATGGGAAACTGATTCCCGATTTCAAGATAACATGCGCAGAGTATTCTTCTCCCCTATACATCACATACAGATTTCACTGTTCTTTATCGAAAATCAAATTTAATTAAATTATATATATTTCTGTTGTAATATAGACATCCTCTAATTTTGCTCTTCCCTGTTTCATTTTGTTCCGCTCTGTACAGTTAATTTACTCTTTTGTAGGTTGTTGACAAGTTAATGCGCAATCAGTGTCGATGCCATGGAATCTCCGGCTCCTGTGAACTGAAAACATGTTGGAGGACAATGCCATCATTCAACGAGATCGGAGACATGCTGAAACAAAAATATCATCAAGCTGTTCAGGTACAAGCTATCTCTGTAATTAATTACCTTACAACAAACGTTGAGAGATCCCATTTAGGTTTATCCAATTAAAGCATCTCTTGTAATTAAAATTATTTCCATGTTTTCAGTGTATTCCCATTACCTATTAAAAGAAATACGCTCGGGATACTCAATGAATTCGTTGAGCATACCCATTCACGAATTAGTTGTAATAATTACGTAATGTACATTAATTATTTCCAATATATTACAAGCAGGTTCTAACGTGTAGCTGCTACCAAACCTTCCAGTATTGTATCACTCCTCGCAGCTCTCGTAACCTATCTGACTCTCAATGTAATCTGCGTGAATATTTTTGAACACCAGCTTCCTTTCAGCCCTGTCATTATCCCTTCTATGATTTATTTCCAAAATTGATTGTTTCTAAATGAGGCAGGTGAATGTGATTTTGTACATATTTTCTATTTTTAGTTGCATGTTATTTTTGTTTGTTTTAGAATGATAAATTGTCTTTGGCACCTATTAAAAAACGTTTTCGTCACTTCTCTTCCTATCAACGTTTTCCTGTTCTTATACTCTTTCTTGTTCTTGTTCTGATTGATAAAAACTCTCTCTCACTCAAGATATATATTCAGCTGCTAAGTTTAGTCGCACCATCCAGGGGCGAATGACCCTATGAATTATAAAAGTGAGAACGAGGATAATGACTGTAGATCGAATTTCATGAGTCTCGAGGAAACTCTTTACGAGTCTCTTTTGTGCTCAACAAATTTCTCATGAATTGATCGCAATTCCAACTTCCTAAAATGACTAATTTCTTCACCTTCATCAGTGTTTTAAGTTGCTGTCATTCACCATATTAGTTGTTTTCCCTTTCGCCGTTTACCTGACTACTTTCTTTTAAGTCTATTTCCAATTTTCATTTTTTTCAAAATTATAGCTAAACTTTTATTCATGTTTTTTCGCAGCTATGAACATAATTGTTTAGGAAACTTATGTAGAAATTGATATTTCATTTCATTGGGATATTCTCAGTCCTTACTTTCATGGCCCCAATGAAGTATGAGTTGGATGCTACGTAATATTTTATATTTTTTAAATTATTCTTATTATATTTTTCGATAGAGAGACAGGGGACATACCTGTCGCTCTACTTGGTCGTTTAGTGTCTTTATCTCTCCTCCACATATGCCTGTAAGGGATCTTTGTATCTTGCAAAAAAAGAATAAAAATTCACTTAGTGTCTGTAATGTATTCGTACCTTAACCGCCATTTTAAATTGACTATGATATCAAAGGTCCTTTCGTGTATTAAAACCTTAGTTTGTATTTATAAATGCTTCAAAAGTCGTTTAGTGTTGACTCTCTCGCTCACAGGAACTTTAAATATTCAAATATCGCACTGGAGGTTCCTAGACCGTTCACAATGCTCGCATTATATTTGCTTTAGATTGTACTTAGCAGGTGTGTTCCTAATTAATAGACGAATTTATCAATATTTGTACAGTAGAAATAAAATTTAAAAACCAGCCGGAATTACATCCACGTTATAAAATACACATAAGAACAAGGGGCTATATCTAAGTAATAAGTAAGCACATTTAGTGAGCAAAATTCTTTTAAACGCGTGGGTTGTCATGGTTCTTATATTTGAAGAGAGAATCGTTGTTTGATTAACGAAAATATATACCCTCCTCTTTCTCCTTATTCATACACCGTTTGAGTTCCATGATCAAAAAAAATATATAATGGTTATCAGCACATGTCTTTTATTTGTATTTGAAACAGCTTCTTTCGATTTCTAAACGAAATGTGTGTAATATAGTTTCACCTAATACAAAATAAGGGACAGTTGACTAATTCATCTTCCAATTAAATGCTACCCTTATCTATTTTCAAACAGAATTATGTATCCCTTTTACTGTGAATACTCGTATTAAACCACCAATCAGTGGTGTATTAACCACCTTTCCTTTTTTGTTATTTTCCACTCTCATCAACAGGTACCCATAAAAACACCGAAACGTCTTCGTCGCAAAAGCAAAGGGAAAAGACTGAAGGTCGACAAGGGCGATCTAGTGCACATCCACAGATCACCAAATTACTGCGTACCAGATTTGCAGAAAGGCATCCCTGGAACGTCTGGACGAGTTTGCAACAAAACATCTCAAGGTCCAGATAGTTGCGACCTTCTCTGCTGCGGAAGAGGCTACAACACTCAGGTATCATCCTTTTCTTCCTAAAAACACAGTCCGCGAAGTGTTACGTCACTTTTTTTATTATTTTTTTTAATCTCTCAAAACGTAAGTAATTAATGTGACTTATGAGTAAAGCAGCATTTAACTGCGCGAATGATGATAAATAATGAACCACGAGTTCCTTATTTATTACGAATGCACTTTCTCCATGCCTCTCTATATGACCATAGATCATCTTGAATTTCATTTGCCGTCATAGCCTCTTGCACTCCCTGCTGCCATGCAAGTCTGGGTCTTCTTCTCTTCTGTCTTTCTGTTGGCACCCATTGCAGGACTCTTTTTGGCCATCGTTCATCTGTCATTCGCACAACATGACCGTACTAGACGATTTTTTTCTCTATTTCGTCAAGGATAGATTTCTTACAGATTCTTACAGATTTCTTACAGATACAGCAATTTTTAAAACAAAAAATATGGACAGTTGACTCTAATTTTTCTTTTACTTCTGGCGTAGGTGTTAGTGCTAGGAGGAGAAATCGACTGATCGTGAAGTAAGTGTGATACAAAAATATAGGTGACAATCAAGGCGATTCATATAAGGATCCGGTTTCTGTAAATAAAATTTTCCGTTTTAGTTTTTTATAACAAAACGTTTTGGTTCGGGTTTCGGATTCGATTGTAAAACGGTTTAAAACAAATTTTCTATGTTTTCACTAAACAATTTCGAAACGAATGACAATACTGTAGAAAAAATGAAGGGGTACATGAAGCAAACCAACGTTCTTTTAAATGGAATTAATCCAAAACAAGGGTTGGGAATCCCCGTAATAGAACTTTGATAAAATCCAATATTTTTCATCCCGGTCTTGATATTCAGACAAATGATGTTTACAGAGTAACATCTCGTAACGTTAATTCAACTAAAAATTATGAAGATACTAGGGATGACCCAAAAAATGTCGAGACAAATGACACTACCGTATTAATTATTCATTATGATGAATACTAGAACATAATTTAATTTCTTCGATAGTAAATTTAAGTGGGTTTTTTGTTTTAAAAATTCCTATTGTGTTCTAGCCAACAATTGTTTCTGCGCTGATATTTGATTTCAAGTTCCCAGTGTTAGCCCACCATTCACTTGAATCACCACTCATAACCATTCACAAACACCTTTATCATCAATATTGCTGTTTACTAATGTTCATTTTTTGTTTGCATTTTTTTAAATACGGATTTCGCAGAAAATGTGATCAGTGCCAGTTTTTGAGTGAACTTGGTTCCAACCGAGGAAACAATTTAAGGAAGGAGCACTTTTTGAGAAAAATTTAAACTACCTTTATTTAAAGAAAAATTAAGAAAAAACTATGCCTTTTTATTCAAGAAATTATAGATGACTTTGTCCTCTTCGAGGAAAACAGTTAAAGAAAATTGTTGAAAAGCAGTATTGGAGAAAACAATTGTGTAAAAATTGAATTCAAAGTGTCCTTTTTTTAATATCCCCTTTATTAAGAGCTCAAAGCTATTTTTTTAGTAATGGCAAAAAATTATTTTTCATTGCCGATTATGACCACGCCGTATCGTTGCGGTGCCTGTAAGTAGCCACCATACTGGTTCAAAGATGTCCAATTTGTCACCAATCCATGTACTATGTATCATTGGTACAAGTATGGCGGTACATTTTAGGACCCCTCGTGATGCATTTTGATAAATAGATGCAATGCCATATTGATAAGACGTCATTAAAGAGCCAACATACTGAAAAACCATTTTTTTAAATACTCGTAACATCATAAATAGGAAAATAAGGAAGGAAAAATTGTAAAATAATTGTATAATCTTAACATCAATAACAAATTGAATTGAATGGATGATTTGCAACATTGTATGACAAATTAGCATCAATATAATTTACTGAAAGAAATAAAATACAGTACTTTTAGATAGTTAGATGAGATGAAAAAGATATGCATACCACAAAAATTGTAAACTGAACTGAAAGAACCATTTTTTTTATAACTAAAATCGTGACGTGAAGTCGGGCGTCATGGCTGCGTTTATTATCCTTACTAATACAAGGCAATGATCAAAAGTGTCAAAAAGACTTAACCTCCTTTTCAAGAAAAATCAATTCGTTGTGACACTTTTCTGGAATTCAATAAATGAATGTCCGCAGAATTTTGTGAAAATACCTGAAAGCGTTGAAGACAAGTAGGTATTTGTCAAAATAAGCACGCACAGGCACTTCATCTTCAGAAATATGCCGACTTGCAATGCTGAAACCTCATATTTTATTGACGGTAAAGTTACATACAACTTCAAATCTTAATTTGAAGTTGTATTGGAATCTGGACGCTGTTGTACTCCTTGAGTCTAAGGCATACCCTCCCGAAAATGTACCCATAAAAAAAGTAAAAAATGAAAGATTTTCAGAATGTTACAAGTGATTTATATCCCTGATGAGCGTTGCCCTTTTATTGAAAAGAGACTTTCCTGGCCAACACAAATTCGTCAATAAGCCAACAACGTTAATGATGGTTTGAATGATGAGTAATAGTTGTTTAAAAAGGATTACGCATTTTGTATTTTGAACTTAATATTGAGATAACAAAAGCTTTCTTTGTATAAACCACCAGTTTATTTGTAAACCCGCTCGAGTTCAATATAACATAGCTCTTAACCTGAATATCATAAATAAATCTAATTTATAATAACGAAATATAATTAGTAAAACTATTTAATACATAATACAAGTCAGCAGAAATACAACTTAGTTATTTTCACCTAATTTTTAAAACATTTTACAAATATACAGATTTATTCTTCTCCGTAGAGACATGATATTAGTATTGCTCACATATATTCGTATTTCAGACGTTAAACATGTCTCTAAAACCTAAGTATGGCACGTGTACCTTTTATATGTCACATTACCTGTTATATGTCACACTTATAAAACCTTTACAACTTTAGAGATTAATTTTTCACGTTCGAGAAATCCAGTCGGTATGGCACTTACAGACTCGTCTTGTAGACATTAAAATCAATTAAAACATATTTCTCTCGGGTGTGTACCTATGATATATTGATCAGTGAAAAAGACATCATTGAATAAGTTTGACAGGTAATCAGAAACGCCGAACAGTATGGCATGATCATAATCGGTGATAACATTTTTTTCTATTATTGGACAAACAAATTAGCTTTGAACTCGAATTCCAAATGGGAATAAAAAATGACACGTTGAAATCAGAAAGGCGGACAGTTCCAGACGCCGCTTCTGTATGGCTTCACACTTTGGCTATCTAGCAAACAATAATGAAGAATAATTATCTGTGTACTCATTCCCCAAGAGCATAATTGTTGTTTTTTGACATATTTAAAAAACTGCGCAGCGCAACGCCGATACAGGCCACCATACTTGCGTTTCCTTGTTTCTCATAACACTGGCTAACTTCTCCAACTGGCGGAGCGCAGCTCTAATACACAAATATCCTAGGGGGGTATTTACGGTATTTGTACTAAATGGTCTCAAGTGTATTTGAACTAAATAGCAAAACTCCTATCCCACTTTGAATTGCCAGCGGGGAATTCAACAAGTAAAAAATTCAAAACATATTGCAGTTAAACGTTACGTTACAACTTAATGTTAATATATTTTGTGTTTGATCCGTTTTGTAAAATGGGGTTTTTAATAATATTTTGATCGAATGAGATATTTACCGGTACTTTTTTAAAACGATCTTGGTGTCTTTTAAAGAGATATTCGTCTCAGTATTTGTTCTCTGAAAAACTATTGGCACTTTGCGAGTCTAGTTCTGGGAATCGTCTGATGGTGGAAAGGTCGTAGGAAAATGAGTATCACGATCCCAAGCATTATCAGATTGTAGGGTCTTAATTCGAGGGAGAGATTTACGCCTCTTGGAAGACATTCTATTTCCATCGCATTGCAGACTAATTTAAACAGTTGTACATAAGCCAAGCTTCTGAATTTTAAATTAATCCCTGTTGAGGAAATAGTCCCTGTTAAATTAATCCCTGTTGAGGAACTGGAAAGTCTCTTTGTTTAACTATATAACGGTTTCTGCGCGATTGAAACTCCAAAATCCATTTATTGAATACAATTGCGAACTAAACGAATACTGGTCCGAAATACCGTCACTAAAATAATTATGGGAATATAATGATATTAAATTTTTATACAAAATACTTAATGGTAATGTCGATAGCCCCATTTATTGGGCCAATTAAGAGTTAAGACTCCAAATAGAACAACCAAAAGAGCAGATTATATTTATTAAAAAACCACAAGTCACTGTATACTGCGAATAACTCCATCAACTAATGTGTTTGTGTTATACAGCGTGTCCAGAAGGTCCCGTTACAAAAAAATACCCCAGATTCTGTGTTGACGTTCATGAAGAATGGCAGCACCAATTTTTATCGGGAAAAAAATTGTCTTCGTTAAAGTTTTGATGTCTTTGATTTAGTTTAAAAGTTACTTCCGGGCACGAAATTCGAACCTGCTGCCGCATATATTCCATTCATACACTGCATACACAAATATTCCATTCATACACTGCATATTGAAGCTTTTCCAATATAAATTTTAAGTTTTCGTATGTTTTTTACATATTAGCAGAGTGCACCATAGGTACTAACGGGAATTTATTACTATTATGCAGAAATACGGCTTTTTAATTAACTGTAGATGAGTAAATGGACAAGCGCCATTCTCTTGGGAATGTTCATTTCCAAGTGTCTCATTTCAAAATATTATACCATTTTCATCAGAAAAATAGCCTTTAAATTCAAAATTACGATTATGATAAGTACATATCTTTTTATTCTTTTGAAGAAGATTCAAGTCTTAGCTGGGAACCAAGCATTTCAGACTGTTTATAATTTCTCTAAATTTCGAATGAAATCTTTGAGATCTTCCTGAATCAATAAACGAGGCTTGAACACCTTTGTTCAAAATATGTATCACCAGAAGAATCCTTTCCTTTTTCGTCCATACTTCT